CAAGATGATGGGAGTTTGGTGGGCTGCCTCGCATTCAATCTCCTTGATGTTGTCGATTGAATATAAAAGTTTGGGTGGTGGTGTTCTTTGGAATTGTGTGGGTCATTTGGATGGAAAGAAATGCTAAAATTTTTGAAGATAAAGAAGATATGAAGGAAGGGACGTGGGATTGATTTTATTTCTTTGCATCTTTTTGGGTCTCCATTACACGCACACACACAGAGAGTAATAATGTAATACACACACACACACACACCCCTCTTCTTTTCAACACACATTCTACTAAAAGTAATACAAAATCCAAAGCAAAATATAGTAAAATAAAGTCTTGTGCCTTCAGAAGGCAAAAAAAGCATAGCCTTTGAAGCTAGCCGACTCCTTATTACTTTTTTTTTGTTTGGATAAGATTATGTGCCTATAGGGTTAATTTTATGGCAAATTATATGCATTGTGAACATGTTTCATATTTTTTAGCTAAAAATTATGTTTTATATATATTTTTATATTTTTTATTATACGACCTGTGCGACCAGTTGATCCAGCAGTTAAACTAGTGAGAACCATTGACCTAGTATCTCTATCGGTTCAATGTTTGGTCCAGTTCTGATAACTATGCTTCGATTTGATAATAGTACATACACGCTATGTGAATATTACGAGTTCTACCTAAATTGGGTGCGACTCGATAGTATCGTTCCGACTCGGAGTTATATCCATATGAATCAAACATTGCACTCCAGACTCAAACAAATTTGGTGAGATCTTCATCAAAATCCACAAATTCAAAAGGCAAAAGAAAAAGAAAAGTGAGAGGAAAACGATGAAACCCTTCAAACCCTAGATTGTAAAAATCACAGATTCACCCCATGGCAAACAGAAGAAGGATTCAAGGAATTGCAAGGCAAACTTGACCCCTTTTCTTCTTCTTTGTGCAGAAGCTAGTAGTGGCCTAGATCCCGCCTTCCTAGTGATTGACTACAACTCAAGCCTTCGATTGCAGTATTTGAGATGATTCATCTCATACGTCCTCTCTCTCTCTCTCTCTCTCTCTATGTGGCATGCGTGGAGACGATTCTTCTTTCAGGTCTCTCTCTTCAGTCCTATAAGAGTCAACAGAGTTCCTATCTATGGTCCTTAAACGTGATTATTTTCTCTTTTTGGCAGTGTGTTACTTATAGGCTATCTTTTTTTTTTTGGGTCATTTTCAAAACCTTCGCTAGAATTGCATTTTTTTTTATTGAGTTTTGGGTATATATATTTTTTAATTCTTAATCTTCTTTTTTCCTTAAAAATAAAGGTAAAAATTATGTTGACTTAGAGTTAAACTTAGACATTTGATTTAAAAAAACTCCTATATATTTTGACTCGGTACATTCTTCAATGCTTACATTGAATATTTATTATTATTACTTTTCTGTATCGCCTGAATAATTAATTTGTACTATGCTTAATTTATTAGGTGATGCATTTTGAAAATAAAATGCATGGATGTTGTTAATATTTTTCATGATTTTTTAAGAATTTTTTGAACTTTTTGTCTAGCATTTTGTGCCTATTGGCCCATACGGTATCGTGAGTGTGATACATTTGTATCAATGCCCTTTGAGATAAGGATTGATATGCAACCTTGTATTATCACCTCTTGGTTAGAACTTAGAATAAAGGGTGGGGGAATGAAAATCTTTCCATTTCTTAGGGATCATCTATTCCTTGCGTTTAGCGCCCCGCTGCCTTCTTTTTGTCCGTATGATTTATTTTTTGACTATGAGGCACAAATACTTCATTCAGGACAAAATATTCAAGTGCAATAATATACAAAACTACAAATTCTTGACTTTGGAAACATGTTCGTCATAGTTATCAAATCGTGTATCGGAAGGCGTATCGTTTTTTAAAAATAGTGTATCGAATCGTATATCGTAAGATACGACACAATTTTAAATAATTAATAATAAAATATATGTTTTTGAAAAAAATTATAGACTCATAAAAACATAACATTTCATTAATATTTCACCTATTTTTCAAGTCACCAATATAATTTACTAATATTAAAAAAATAATAAAGGGTATCAAATTAAATTAATGGTACTTATATATACTTAAAAGTAAAAATTATAATGTAATGGGTATTAAATGTAATTTTTTAATGGGGTATTAAATGTAATTTTTATACTTATAACAAAAAAAAAATTTGCACCTCTCGTGACCCACGATTGCACACACACAGACAGAGAGAAGAGGGAAGAGAGAAGAGGTGAGAGGCGCTCAAAGGCGATGCCGATGGGCAATGGCAAACATACTGGTGGCTGGTACCTCGTCGCAGTTCACAGTGACGAAGACAGAGATCGTGAGACAGGGGTTAGTGTTAAAAATCAACCTAGGGTTTCATCCGGTTAGTGTTGCTATTTTTTCTAATTTCAAAAATTTGTTTAATGTGCTTTTGGTTGGGTGTTTGGCTGGTCTGTGGGTTTGGTGGATTGGTAATTCTTGTCTTCATCTCTTGCCTTTTCTTTGACATTTTCTCTCTGATTTGTGGGCTTGGGTGTCTTCATCTCTGTTTTTCCTGTCAATGATTTGGTGCAAATCTACAAAACAGGCTGTAAAAAAAAAAAAAAAAAAAAAAAATTAAACAGCTTTTGTGTGTATCGTTCGTATCGTACCGATACGTATCGTGTATTAGACGATACAAAGCAAAAACGATACATATATACGATCTGTATCATTTTACCTCCGTATCGTACGATACTAACAACTATGATATCCGTGAAACTCGTTAAATGTTGGCTCTGGATTCTTTAATCAGACGTGTTCATTTTGTGGGTATTCAATGATGACACAATAAATGCTTCTTTTAAAGTAAAAATTATTGGACTTTTTATACTTTGCACCCTAAAAGATTTTAAAATTTTTACTGTACATCCTCAAAGATTAAATTTTTCATATTACACGCTTAATGTATCAAAAGTATTGCAATGTGACCCTTGTATTATCATATGTTATTTTTTCTGTCAAAGTCAACTCATTGGCAGTGACAAAAAAACTAACAGGAGGATCACATTGCAACATTTTTGATATATTGAGGGTGCAATGTGAGAAATTTAATCTTTAAGAGTGTAAAGTAAGAATCTTGAAATCTTTTAAAGTGCGAAGTGCAATTTACCCAAAATTATTTAATTTTTATTTATTATTAAAGATTTTATAGAAAGTTATAATCATCACATTGTGAGATAGTAGAAAAATATGAAATATTTTGTCTATGGACGTATCTTGACGATATCTATGTCTTATTTTAAAGTTTTACTGTATCACTATGTTCGTATCCTATTGCATTCATTTCACTTCCCGTAACCGCATACATGATTCGTAGTTTTATGAGCAAATTATGTACCTTGACATCAACATTGGGCGAAGTTTCGATATTGGCAAGTGAAAGTTATAATCAGGAGTTGGTGTGAATTAATAACTTGTATGGTGCTAAAATGCATGGATGTTTTTAATGTTTTTCATGATTTTTTAAGAATTTTTTGGGCCTTTTGTCTAGCATTTTGTTTGTATTGACCCTTATCGTGCCACGAGTGTGACCCATTTGTATCAATGCCCTTTGAGATAAGGATCGATATGCGACCTTGTATTATCACCCCTTTGTTAGAACTTAGAACAAAGGGTGAGGGAATGGAAATCTTTCCACTTCTTAGGATATCTATTCCTTGTCTTTAGCGTCTCCGCTGCTTTCTTTTTGTCCGTATGATTTATTTTTTGACTATGAAATACAAATACTCCGTTCAGGTCAAAATATTCAAGTGCAATAATATACAAAAATAAAAATTCATATGACTTTGAAAACACACATCAAAAGGAAATAATAATGGTTAATCACATCCTATCACTTGGAAATATGTACTTCTAAACTTAAACAAACTTGTTAAATGTTAGCTTTGAATTCTTTACTCAGCCGTGTTCATTTTGTGGGTATTCAATGATGGGACAATATATTCTTCTATCAATGTAAAAATCATTGGGCTTTTTCGTACTTTGCACTCTGAAAGATTTTAAAATTTTTACTTTACACCCTCAAAGATTAAATTTCTCACATCAAAAATATTACAATGTGGTCCTTTTATTAGCTTCCTTTATTTTTTTTGTCAAAATCTAACCTATTGACACTAGCAAAAAAACTAACAAAAAGTTAATAGAAGGGTCACATTGTAACATTTTTGATACATTGAGGCTGCAATGTGAAAAATTTAATCTTTGAGGGTATAAAGTGAGAATTTTGAAATCTTTTAGGGTGTAAAGTGCAATTCACCCAAAATTATTTAATCTTTATTATTAAGGATTTTATGGAAAATTATAATCATCACATCGTGAGATAATAGAAAAATATGAAATATTTTGTCTATGGATGTATCTTGGCGATATCTATGTTCTATTTTAAAGTTTTATTGTGTCACTGTGCTCGTATCCTTATATCCATTTCATATCCGGTATCCGCATTAGTGTTTCGTAGTTTTTTGAGCAAATTATGCACCTTGACATCCACATTGGGTGAAGTTTCAATATTGGTGAGTGAAAGTTGTCTGACCAGGAGGTGCTGTGAATTAATAATTTGTATGGTGCTAATTTCCACGAGGTGAGGTGTAATTGCCATTATTTCTCCTCCAAAAAATATTACGTATGTAATCCAGGGCAACATCTTAAAGTTTTAAAGGTTGGAATAGTTTAAAATTTGCAATGACATCAAGTTGTTGGTTCTTACTCCACTTCTTCATTGATTGACAGTTGCAATGATTTTATAATTTTGTTAGTCTGGCTCTTTGTAGTTGAACAGCCTGTGATCTTGTTATTAGATGGAAATTCTAGAAATTAATTGTTAGTGTTAGAAAAAGAATTTCTTGAAAAGCTTGGATTGGACATGTTGACATGTTGGAAATTCTAAAAATTAATAGTTATTAGATGGTATGTGTCTGAGTGTGTGCGCTACTGTCTTTCTTTCTTTTAGGTGGCGTTTATGAAGCCAATTCTACCCTGAAAGTGTGTGATTGCTAAGCAATGGTAAGTTTTTCTTTTGCTTCTCTTCTTTGCAAAATTACATGTCTCTTGCCAGATTCTTACCATGTTGCCTGTATTCTTGATGATTCGTTTACCTTCACTGCTGCACCAACAAAAACTCTTTCTTTCAAACTAGTTAAGGCATTTATTATTCCTTTTGCCACCTTTATCTCTGATTGTTTGGTTTTAAATGCTGCGTGTTTCTTTGAACTCCGTCAACGTTGGTTCAATATGAGTTGCCTGTGGTAGTTATAGTCTTTAACAATAGTGGTGTATATGGTGGTCGACTAGAGGTGCCCTGAAAAAATTACAGGACCTTACGAAGATGATCCAGCACCGACATCTCTTGTCCCTGGTGCAGGATATCATAAACGTTACAATCGATCCAGATGCTGGTGCAGAAAGTGGGAGGTTGCAGCACAACAACTAAGGTAAGCTGTAGCACAGCGATTCATGGTTTGTTAACCCTTGTTGTTTGAGTTCGTTAATCTTTTTTGTTTGTCTAAGTGGTCAGTTAAAATTTACGAAGCCAGTGTCATGGTTATTGCTAGCGTGTAGATGCAAAGTCATAACTCCAGTTCTACTTTGGCATTAGAGGATTACAATTCATGATACTTGACCTAGTTGATGTACAGTATCAACTGACTCCATCTACCGGGTGCACACTTAAGCTGATTTTGTCACGATGGAAATGCATTTTAGATATTCATATTGATCTACTTCGTGTGGTTGATAGTGTTCATTATACTCTTTTTCTATGGCACCTGTAAACAAACAGTGTATTTCTTTTGTTAGCAGTTAGATTGGTGGGTGGAAATTGGAACTGCAGCATGCTCTCAAGACTTTTGGAGGCTGAACAAAAGAAAGTTCAAGTTCTTTGAGCTAATGGTTGCATGGTACAGAGTCCTCAGTTGTTGCTCGGTTTTGTGCGTGATTCAGAGTTTTGTAATCACCTTTCCGTGCACCTTAAAAGTGGGGATTCCAAATTTTTTTTAATGTTTATATTCTGATATTACATGTAAGATAACTACGCGGGTTAGCATTTCATGGGGTTTGAAGTCTTTTGAGACATTAATGAATGTGTATAAGCATCATTGGCTCATGTGGGCATGGGTGGTATCTTATTTGCTTCCGAAGGAAATAGTTCAATGATAAAATTGAGTTTTCCTTCTTCAAGCGACTAATTTTCTCTTTTCTATGTGTAAATTCACCATGGAGAAATTATTATGTTGCAAAAAGGGCAATTCAATATGGGAAATTTTTGTTATTATGCAATTTTATATAATGTATAAAGAGATTGTTTTAGTGATTTGAATCTATGACGTTCAATTTTACCTAGCAAAAATGTTATCTCTGTTGAGAAATTTATACTTTGGTAAAATTTTACTATAACAAATTACACCTCAGCCTGAAGAAAAATGAAAAATTTATCACATCCTTTATAAGAACCAACATGCCTGGTAGTGAACTAACTCCTTGAAGTTCCATGAATGGACATAGATATGTATCACAACTTAACCACCGGGTTTACTTTTATCAAATATCAAAGTGATTGGAATTTGGAACCGTGTGAAATGTTGGAAGAAAATAATTGAGAGGAAGAAACAGTAAGCTACATGGCCTCGTAACGTAACATTTATCAGATATCAAGTTGGGTGGGTGTTGGTGGGTCTTGTCGTCTTCCCAAGTCCGTGTGGAGCCCAATGTAGAAAAATGATGGCTCACAGCTGTAGGGTGTTGACTAAGCATGCCTCTTGCCTACTCGTTTCTCTCTGTAGATTTCCCTAACATTATTGGAACTCATACAGTGTTTTGTTTCCTTTCCATTGCAATTTGCAATCTTTTCCATTGTTGAGTTGCTTCAGGATAGAGTTCCTAAATCAAAGAGAGTATGGCAAATACACTTGTTTCTGGCCTTGCCAACACCATCTTGGGAAACTTGAGTTCTCCGGCACTGCAAGAATTAGGGGCAGCTTGGGGCCTAAAGGATGAGATCCAGAAACTTAAGAGTACTTTCACTGCAATCCAAGCTGTGCTTCAAGATGCTGAGGCTAAGCAAACCAAGAGTAAGGCTCTGCAGGATTGGCTGAGTAAGCTTAAGGATGCAGCTTATGATGTCGACGATATCTTGGATGAGTTTGAGACCGAAGCTCTCATACGAAAGGAAGACCATCAAAGAGGTTTGATAAACCAAATAATTGCCTGCTTCACGCATAGAAATCCTTTAGTATTTCGCTTAAGAATGGCTCATAAGGTGAAAGATATAAGGGAGAGATTAGATACCATTGCAGATGAGAGGGATAAGTTCCACTTGAAAGAGGGTGTTACAGATTCACAAGTTTATGACATGGAGAGAAGGCAAACTGGCTTCCTTGTGAATGAATCAGAAATTTATGGTAGAAATGAGGAGAAAGAAATGATAATTGATGTGCTGATTAACAATTTGAGCAATCAAGATGATGTCTCCGTCTATGCTATATGGGGTATGGGGGGACTTGGAAAGACCACTCTTTCTCAATTGCTCTACAATGATAAGAGGGTAGAGAGACACTTTGAGTTGAGGATTTGGGTGTGTGTATCTGATGATTTCAGCATACTACGGCTGATGAGGGCAATCATTGGGTGGATAGAATGTCGTGCGTGCGATATCACAGAGTTGGCTCAACTAGAGCGACGCCTCCAAGAAAAATTGAGTGGGAAGAGATTTTTACTTGTGCTGGATGATGTGTGGAACGAATACCATGATAAGTGGAATGGACTCAAAAATGCACTAAGGTGTGGAGCGAAAGGTAGTATGCTTGTGGTAACCACTCGAAGTGAGAAAGTTGCTCTTATGATGGCTACGCTTCCAATATTTAACCAGAGATGTTTGTCGGAGGCTGATTCTTGGAGCTTATTCAAGCACCGTGCATTCGGGATTGGAAGGAGGGAGGAGAACTTAGAGTTGGAAAAAATCGGCAAGGCAATAGTGAAGAAATGTGGCGGGGTGCCCTTGGCAATAAAGGCTCTTGGAAGCTTCTTGTGGTTTAAAAACAACATAAGTGAATGGTTATCTGTGAAAGAAAGTGCAACTTGGGATTTAGCAGATGATGAAAATGCCATCGCACCAGTCCTAAGGCTAAGTTATGACAATATATCTCCATCTTTGAGGCAATGTTTTGTTTATTGTTCAATATTTCCCAAAGACTATGCAATGGAGGTGGACATGCTGATAGAGCTTTGGATTGCAAACGGCTTCATTCACTCTAAAGGAGAAACAGATCTGTATCGTATGGGCCGTGGGATCTTCAATAATTTGGTTTGCAGGTCTTTCTTTCAGGATGTCAACGAGGGCTACATGGGTCGCTTGACATGTAAAATGCACGATCTGATGCATGATCTTGCAATGTCTATTATGACACAAGAGTGCTATATAATAGAGCCTTGGAAGGAGCTGAAAATTCCAGAAAAAGTTCGCCATTTATCTTTTTATGGGAACTCAGATTGGGAGGTTCCTCGATACGAAGATGTGCGAAAAGTGCAATCTTTACGCTCCATTGTAGTTCTATCATGGCACATGAACGGGAAGGATATTGCTACCTACATCTCAAAACAAAGTAATCTGAGAGTGTTGGACTTGAATAACTGTTACTTGAACAAAGTACCATCTTTAATTGGGAATTTGAAACATCTTCGGTACCTCAACATGTCGAACTCTAGGATCAAAACCTTACCTGATTCAATGACTTGTCTGCAAAATCTACTGACATTGAAGCTGAAATATTGCGGGCAACTTGGTAAATTGCCCAAAGGTATGAAAAATTTGAGAAATCTTAGATGTCTTGACATTAGAGGATGTGATTCTCTTGTTTGTATGCCTGCTGGACTCGGGCAGTTAAGACACCTACAGACTTTAAGCATCTTTATTGTGGGTTCGGACCGTGGTCAACAAATAGGCGAGCTGAAAGAATTAAATCTTAGTGGTGAGTTGACCATCAAGGGACTCCATAATGTAAGAGATTCAGAGGACGCAAGAAGTGCCAACTTAAAGAGGAAGCAGGATCTTTGTGCTTTGATATTGGATTACGGGGATATCAAGACTGACAACTTACTAGATAATGATGAAGAAATTCTTGATGGTCTCCAACCTCATCCAAATCTAAAGAAGTTGAGCATACGGTCGTATCAAGGCTTGAAGTTTCCTAATTGGATGCTAGATTTGGAACTTCAAAATCTGATTGAAATCTCTCTAGATGGATGTAAGAGATGTGAACATCTTCCACCTCTCGGGAAACTACCCTCCCTCAAGGTTCTTTCTATTGTTGCAATGGATGCTGTTAAGTGTTTCAACAATGACTGCTATGGAGATGGGGAACAATCATTTCCAGCACTAGAAGAGCTCTATTTGATGCATATGCCTAGTTTGGAGGAATGGACAACAGTTGATAGAGGAGAAAGTTTTCCTCGTTTGCGGGAATTATGGATCTATGCATGTCCCAGGTTGACTGAATTTCCTTGTATTCCATCACTTGGGAAATTAAGGATACAATTCAGCAACGAGATGCTATTAAGGTCGGTGATGGATCTCACTTCACTTTCCTGGCTTCTAATATTTGGGTTTGATGAGTTGGAGGTTCTTCCAAATGGACTGCTTCAAAATCACAAGGTTCTTGAGTTCCTATCGATTATTGGACTACGCAATCTCAAGACTCTGTCACATCAGCTGGATAATCTTTCTGCTCTGAAACAATTGACAGTTAATCATTGTGATTCTCTCGAGTATTTACCAGATGGACTCAAAAACCTCAGATCCCTTGAGAGACTCGAGTTACGGGATTGTGACAGCCTGACATCCTTACCGGCGACAGGGTTACAAGGCTTGTCTTCCCTGAGGATGTTGTGGATACGGTACTGTAAGAAACTAAGTTGTTTATCTGAAGGAGTAAAACACCTGACTGCTCTCCAGAATTTGGACATAATTGGTTGTCCAGAGATGACGTTTTTGCCCGAAGACATGCAACATTTAAATGCTCTCCGAGCACTGCGAATTAATCAATGTCCACATTTGGAGAGGCGATGCGAGAAAGAGAAAGGAGAGGACTGGCCAAAGATAGCTCATGTTCATGGGATTTGGATCAATGATCGGAAAATACAGTCCTTGATCCCACATGACTAAAAATGCATCTGACGGAACAATCTTCATACGATGGTTGTGGTAGCCAGCAGCGGCTTGTGGAGCACGCAGATAAAAATAAACTTTAGAAGGTAAATTTCTGTGACTTCCTTGTTGATGTATTATTTATTTCTCCCTGCAATTGCTCCTGCTCTGCTCTGCTCTGCTCTTGGGGTCAAGTTATATTATAGCGATCCTAAACTCCCCCAAAGCATTGTAAAATATTTATTTATTTATTATTATTTGACTTCCAAAAAATTATATTTCAAACAAAAAAATAATAAAGCAGGTGGTCAGCTATGAAGTGAACCAGAATGAAATACTTTTAGTCCGTTTTCTCGAGACTGGAACTTTATGCTCTTTTGTGATATATATATTTGATGGAGAGACTGCCGTAAAGAAAATTATGATGCAATTGGGTCAAGTTACGACTCCATCCATGAGGTTGATTAAAATTTTGATCCAGTAAGAATCTGTTAGAATCGATTTCATCTTTTGATACAATGGAGCCGTAAACTTCATTGGGTTGTGATTTGAATGATTGAATAGTATTTTTTTTTTTTGGGACTAATTTCACTTTGCACCTTAAAAGATTTTCGATTCTCAATTTATACTCTCAAACATTAAAAATTTTAATTTGTACTCAATGATCTGAATTGGTAGCAATGTGGGCTTGACCTAACATGTTGTTTAGTTTTTCGTCATAAATTGAACACGGGAGGTGCAAGTGTTTCGGGCACGAGGATGAGGTATGTTTATCATTACAAATCTTCGTTTGTAATCAATTTGTAATTGTTTTGTGTATTGAAAATAGAGTTTTATTAATTAGATAAAGGGTAATCCTACCATATGCAACTTACGTGAGATGCCAACAGTCTGTAAATTTACAAATAAACTCATGCTAGAAGCACTTGCAATTTACGTGATTCAATTTATTATGAAAAATTAAACAATTTATTATGAAAAATTAAACAGGAGTGTGTGTAAGGTTTACATTGCTACCAATTCATAAAATTAAGAGTACAAATTAAGATTTTTAATGTTTAAAGCTACAAATTAAGAATTAAAGTATCTTTCGGGGTGCAAAACGAGCCCCCCCCCCCCCCCCCTCTTTTTTTTTTTCAGTTTTGTATTTCGCACAATAGTCTTTCAGTTGGACATGGGTTTTCTGTGTCTCTGGATGTTGGATGATCTCTTTCCATGTGGTCCTAAGCCAAACCCACGACAGACAAACCAAAAAAGTTTATTAAATTTGTTTTGATATTTTCGGAATCAATATTCTGGTTCAGGTTGCCAACTTTATGCAGCAAGCTGAGGATTGGCTGAGAAATTTCCATACATATGATGTGCCCCTGCTTCTGGGAAGATGCAGCAGTGGTGAGAGTGTAAATTTGTGTGCCGCCATGGGATTAGTTGCACTCGAAGAAACGATCTCAGCGATGTAAGTTACAATTAGGTACCCTTGATAAGTGCCCATTTTGCAGTATGAATAATGGAATTGCATTACGACTCATAGTCTACGCGAATATATCCAGTAATTTCCTTTACATTTTCTGAAAATCATCTCTTACTCTGTCTTATAACAGGTTTCATAGATTGTCAAAAGTAGGTTCACGATTCTATCTCCCTTCAAAATATCACGAGGCCATTTTGAAAAATCTTACACTTTAAGATGTTGGTTGATCATTAACTTAATACAGAATTTGCTGCCTTTAGCCATTTTCATACACTATGATCTTTTTGGTCAGAGTTATCCTCCTGCATACCGAAAGAGCACGTAAGCAGATAACTAAAAGCTAAAGATGCAAACCGGCATATAATTAAACAAACCAATACTCACAAGTGATAAATCAAATAGACCTGCTGTAAAACATACTTTTCTTGACAAAATGAAGTAGAACAAATAGACAAAAGTAATAAATCAGAGAAACCTGCTATACCCAATATGGCAGCAGTCGAATGTTTAATAACAAATGGGAGCTCAAGTATTCCCTTACTTTTTATTGTTGTTTCTTTTCCTATTTTGTTAGCCCTCACTTGTTCATCTTTTGTGATTGTTGAATCACATCTACACCATATCCATTGACCTTAGATCAACATCATAGAGTCTCTTTTCTCTATATATTTGTACCAAAAAGACCAAATAGAAATGTCAAAACATCACAGATACATATATTGATATACTATAAAAGGTAACATTACTTGATTTCAAATATGAAAAGCAACCGCGGATTGTTTTCAAAAAATGAAGTGTGCTTTTTATTATGTGAAAAAAATATTGAAATTGGAGTATATCACCTTCCATCTTCCTAATCAAATGTCATTCTTAAATATGTAATATTCAGATAGACAATTTTTTATGGAATGTGATTACCTACATTGTTTTAATGATATTGGTTTGATTATCTCTCAAAAAATGTGTTTGAAAGAAAGACTAACAGGTTTCATGGATTGTCAAAAGCAAGTTCACGATTCTATCTCCCTTCAAACTTTACTTGCTCTTTTTTTTTTTTTTTTTTCAGGTTTTCCTTGTTTTCCTTTCCAGCAAAAGCTCTGTCTGCTGCCTTCCAAGAATGCCATGGAAACCCGATAAAAAATGGGAATTCTATAATTAGCAGATTCTTGATTCTATTTGTGATTTTTTTTTCCTTTCCAGCAAATGCAATAATTAGTTGGGAGAAAATAGTAGAAGGATTATCAGATTAAGATAATAATTGTTTACTCATCTTTTCATGTCAGTCAAATGAATTAGTGAAGTTTAAGGGCATCTCAAGTCTTGTTAAGTCTACTTAAACCACTCTGGATTGCTGTCGATATTTTGCAGGCAACCAAGGCAATGGAGAGGCTACTTGAGCCATTTTTGCTGAAAAGTTGTTCAAAAATGTTGATGCCTCCGATACAGTTGTAAATCCATCGTAAGCATTTCTATGTCTAACCATTTCCAGTTGTATTAATTAATTGATGCACACGTGCATTTCTTGTAAACTATTTTAACTTGTAATATTATTCTAAGCTTTCATTTTCATCCAAGTTACAACCATCAAAAGAAATAATTCATTCTACATGAGTACATTGATGAGTGTGTTGTGTAGAGAATGTCTGACCAAATATAAGCAGCTAATTAAATTTTAATTTTTTTTACATATTAAAAATTGAGCCTATTGATTTTTTTTTTTTTTTGTGTTAAAATTCAGGTCAATTTGAGCTCAACTTCAACTATTAGCGTGGATTAAAATTTATATTTTTTTACGTATCAAAATTCTAGTTGATTAAATTTTAATTGGCTCAAATCAAATTTTAATCGATTTGAATTTTAATATGTAAAAAAGATTCTTAAAACAGAAAGAGTTTCATTGAAGATATGCATATCTAGAGGGGGTGTGGATGAAATTTTTCATAAAATCTGTCATGGACAATTTAATAAAATTGTATTATAGTTAAAGCCTTTAATTTGATAGTGGGGTGTCAATGAAAATTCAAAAAATATAAGGATGTCCTTGAAGATATGATAAATTAGGAGTGTGACTAAAATTTTTCCTAAATAAAATGATTTCAACTCGCCCAAAAAATTACAAGATATATGAACAAACAAACACACACACAATAAATTTTTGATTTGAATACAAACTGTGAAATGCCTTATATTTGTTCTTCCCAATATAATAAATGCACATCTTCTTAAAAACCAGAGTAATTTATAGATCGATTGTTTGCTGCAGAAGTGTATAAAAATATGAAGATTCACATAACAACTTCAATTTGTAGATCAAAAAAAGTGGGAGGACAAAGGGTGAAGCCTAATTATTTTTGATTTTTTGTCTTAGTTAATTGGACGAAGATAATTTCAATACAACTTTGATCCATAGAAATTTTGATTTCACAGAAATAATCCTTTAGGATCACATATCTAATCTATATCCTAGAATAAGTGGGCAATATTGAAGTATGAAGTCAAGCGGAACTACTACTCCTAAAATAGGTAGCTATAGGGCTCCTTTCAATGGTTAGTCCATAGCGCCATTAGAAGCATACATCTATCCACCTCCTGGTATAAAGCATAAAAATGATTCAACAAAAATCTTGAAAAAAATCTATTTCCAAGTCTTTGAATAGTGCTGCCAAAAGTGAAACAAAGAATGCAAATAGGCGCCTCAATACAAAACACAATTGACATCGATGAAACCATGAACAAAGACATTGCACCAATTGTTTCGGGCCGGAATCGCTGGTCTTTACACAATCTTCAAAGCTAACAATTATACAGGCTGCTTATGAGAACTACAAACTACAAACCAATATACTCTTTAGATGTCCTTATCATGAATATATGTTTGGTATGTTAATTCTATTAGATCAGCTGACCCAAAAAAGAAAAAAAAAACCAATACCACCTCTAGTTTTTGGCCACCGCCATGAGTTCCACCATGTCAAACCATAATCACCTCCCCAATGTTCTAGTATAAATACGGACACGCAACAATAGAAGCAATGAGATAATAATTCGGTAGTAGTTCAAATTTCGCATAGTAAACGAATGTTTTAGCATTTACTATTTATGGAAGTTCTAAGTTATCAAACATAGACCCTTAAGCCAAATCTCTAGTAGAGTAGCAAATAAAAACCTGACAATCACATTGAATTTGGGGGAAAAAAATTCATAAACAGGCTTATCACAACAATGATTTGTGCAATTTATAATATAGTCATAGTATATATAAGGACAAGTTCCAGCATATATCAAAAAATCTAATAGCATGTTACGTATTTAATTTTATGGTATATTTGCTTTTTATGTCAATTTATAAAAAAGTGGCACCATCATGGTACTCATAACTTCACTAAAAAACTGAACTCAGCAGATCGGATATGTAACAGAAGCCCAAAATAGCACATAATTAATATTTCAAGCAATGTGGTTTTTTTTGGGATCTAGACCCTTCTCATTTCATAGTTCAACACGAAGCAAAAAATGATGTAGTTAATCATAATACGGATTCATATCAACTACAATTCACATATATACATCTAAACAAAGTCGTTGATTTGAAGTTGCATTAGTAATGATCTAGGTGTTTTCACAACTTCTTGGGCTTTATACAGAAGTTCTAAAAATTAACCATAAAACATATAAGCCTCCCACTAATAAATGATGAGATGGTTCAAGAAATGTGAAAATCACATAAATATTAGGAAAGCCTCGTGAATGGTGCAATGACTCTGAGTTATCAACAAAAGGTAAACCCATCACTTAATTAGCAAGCCCTCATCTATAGCAATTTAACATTCAACTGATTTATCAATAATGAGGCAGAAATGCAAGAATGCAAACTTTATATCATCACATATTTAAATTCAAAAAATACATGACCTTTACATGATTGACAAAAATATTTAGAGTTCATGTCAAAATATTTCTAAGCTAATATCAGTTCTCAAATCCAATCCAATGTTGCATTGTGCTCTACAAACCTAAGTAAAATGCATACGATTCCACCCAAATAATTCGAACTAAATGACAGTTTTTAACTGGTAAATTAGTAATTCAAATATACTCAATTTTGATACCATCTCCTTACCATATGTAAAAAAATTCCGTTAGATTAAAAAATCAATATAGATGTCTAAAATAAGTCAAAATTAAAAACATGAACATTCCTTTCGAAATTTTGTCTACATACCAGAAAAGAAAGTGTAAAAATCCTCATCATGCATGCATTACGAATCCAGAACACAATCTTGCATTGAGATGATAGAACAAGATTTGGCAAACCCAATTGATGTAGAGCGCACCCGTACCTACAAAAGAGTCTTTCAACATTTCAAAGAGAATCAAGAAGTCCAATTCACATCCACGTTAATATAGCACACACCTGAGAATTGGATACAACGAACGTTAACCGTGAAGGATCACCCCAATCGACTATTGAGAGAGAGAGAGAGAGAGAGCAGCGACATGAAGGGAAACGTCACCCTTGAAGCACCTCAACTGACTTTTAAGAGAGAGACAGGAGGAAGATAAAGAGGTGCCGTTTTAATGTGTATACCAGACGACATAATGATAATTTATGTATTTGAAAAAGAGGACATAATAGTTTTTACAGGGACAAAATGAAAAATTTTCACTTTATATAATTGTTTAGGGATATTTATGGTATTCAAAAAATTTTTGGTTTAGTAGCTGTTTTTAGAAGTACTAGTTGGTACACAAGTGCGTTGAAAGTGGATCAATTTCAATCATAACTCAGATTTGTAGTCCTAGCTTTAATTATATAGACTGATTATTCACGATTAGAAGATAAAATGATAAATCAAGGTATACATGAAAAAATTTATTAACATTTTCCATAGTGTTTAGGGAAACAAGAAAAGAGCCAAAAACAAATAAGTGTTTTTTTTGTCTTGTCATTTTAATTGACGTAAACAAATAATGAAGATTACATAATTGTTTTTACCTATATTACAAACTATCTAGACAAGCAATTAAAAAGAGATAAGAAATAATGAGACACACATTTAAACAATCAATCTATGACATGACTAAGTTCCAAGGAAACTGTTGTTCAATTGAGTAACACAAAGAAGCTGTGATCCTACACTCATCCACTAAATAGTGGCGTGAAAAAAAATGTGCTATTATATTATGAACTTGTTATATGTTTTTGAATTTTTCTTTTTCTCTACTGTGTTTCCTTTGTTATCTTCTCTTAATACCTTTTAACAAAAAAATCTATTGAAACACCTCATCACCTCTTGATGTTGCTTCCAAAAACTTAGTGAAGTTCCTCGATCATGATTTGGATTTTACCGAAGTTATCAACAAAACTAACTGAATTAAATAAAAGTGACTATATATTTATAAAAAGTGGAACACAAACCTTTGGAGGTTGGAAATAACTTATCACAAGATTTAATAATTGATTCTGAAAAAATCAAAATTTTGTAAAAAGAAAAAAAATAAACATATAGCAAACACAGTGAACAAGAACACTATAAATAGAGTATCCATTGCGATCTAGTCTCCATGAGTTTAAAACTTGAACCACTGAATCGATATCCTGCATGAAAAAAAAGCCATGGCACATGGGTCTTTGAAATGAATTTCTATGAAGTAAAAACTTTATCAGATTTAAACAACCATGATGCTTGACTAATATATGGGACATTACCTTCCCATAATACTCCAAAAGAAATCTGATTAGGCTATTGTAAGTAACTGCTTCATAGAAAACAATTTTGAACATTGTTCAGAATTACATATTCCATATAAGCTACTAATAATGGTCATTTAGAAGTACAGTGTCTAGTGAGCCACAGAGGCAATTAGGCAACAAGATCAACAGAGGATCTGAATAACTTTTGTCGGTGTTAAATGAAGAACAATCGCTGCCCATTCATGAAGAAAAAAGAGTAAAACAACTAGTAAATGAAAAGACTACTGAAAGGGGAATGGAGAGAAGAACAGACCCACCTGATAAAGGGTACTGGTCTGATAAGGGGAGTTCTATGAGTGTAAGCAAAGGTAGAAGTAGATTCTGAGCCAAATTCCTCAGATGAGGATTATGTGACTAAGATCATTAGGCGTAAGCCCAAAGGTAAGATTCCTCTTTCATTTCATGATTATTTTTTGTCATGGAATGTGAGAGGGGCTGGGAAAGTCTCTTTGTGCAGGAGACTTAGAAAAATTATAAGAATGAATGATGTATGTTTGATGTCGATTCAGGAGCCTAAAATGGAGGGAAGGAAGTTACAAGGGTTTGCAAGGGAATTGGGAATGTCTCATTATTTTTTCAATCCCCTGGCTGAAAGAAATTTATGGTTACTCTGGGATGATAGAGTGCAGGTGCAGGTGGTGGCACAGAATAAACAAGCTTTGATTGTGAGTGCTTCATATTTGGGTTCTGAGAGGGTGTTTATCACTACAGTTCATGCCTGTTGTGATCACATTCTAAGGAGACCATTATGGCTTCATCTTTTGTCTCTGACCATTCCCAGTGGAGCTGCTTGGGTGGTTGGAGGTGATTTTAATGCCATCATGAATTCAAGTGAGAGATTGGGGGGTGCTTATCCATCCACTGTGTCAATGGAGGAGTTTGGCAATTTTGTACATACTGCTGGATTGCAGGAAGTGGGGTTTAATGGCAATCAATATACATGGTGTAATAATCATCATGGGAGGTTTCGTATGTAGCAAAGGATTGAGGATGTTGTTTAACCCAGATTGGTGTTTCAGATTTGCAAAGAATGAGGTTTTTCATCTGGGAAGAGGAGGGTCGGATCATTGCTCTCTTGTGCTTAAAGTCCAAGAGGTCGCTCAGGCAAGAATCTCGTATTTTAAGTTTCATGATATGTGGGTGGAAGATCGAAGTTTTTTGCCTTTGGTAGATTCTAAATGGGATGGAAGCTATGCTTCTAGTCCAATTGAGAATCTTTTTTTGAAGTTAAAGTACTTGAAGATTCTTTTGAAAAAATTGAAATTTAGAAGTTTTTGAAAATATTTTTGAAAAGAGTAAGAGATGTGAGGAGGCTGTTTCTGCAAGCTGAGTTGCTGATTGAGCAGAATGATTCTGATAGAAATTTGCAAGCTTTGGAGATATCACAGAAGGAATTGGATGAGGCTTTGAGAATTGGGGAGATTTATTGGAAGCAGAAAGCCAATACTAGATGGGCTGTGGAGGGGGAGAAAAATACGTCTTTTTATCATGCTTTAGCAAGAAGTAAAGCTATAAGAGGTAGAATAGATAAGGTTCAAAATGGTGCAGGTTTATGGGTAGGGACTGAGGAGGAGATAGGAGAGGTGATTGTGAATTTTTATTTGACTTTGTATAAATCTGAGTCTCATTCTTTACAAGAGAGTCTATTTTCTGTTATTCCTTCTTTAGTTACTGATGAAATGATGATGTCTGTGAAAAGTGCACCTGGAGTGGATGGCTATTCCGGGAAATTTTTCCAGGAAGCTTGGGAAATTATAAAAGGGGATGTTGTAAGGACTGTTAATTTTTTTCTAAGGGATGGTAAGGTGCCGAGGTCAGTGAATGCTACTTTACTAGTTCTAATACCAAAGAAGACTGATCCTGTGTCTTTTACAGATTATAGGCCAATTAGCTTATGTAATTTCTTATACAAGATTTTTACTAAGCTGTTGGCTATTAGACTGGCACCTATTCTTCCTTTAATAGTGTCTGAAGAGCAGCATGAGTTTGTTAAAGGAAGGAATGTTGGGGATTGTGTGGCTATATCACAGTTGATGGCGGAGAATTTGGATAGGAGAGTGGAGGCCGGGAATGTTATTTTAAAGCTTGATATGATCAAAGCCTATGACAGGCTGGAATGGGACTTCTTGTTTAAAATTTTATCATGTTTTGGGTTTTCTAAATTATTTGTCAATATTATTGCAAATTGTTTAAAATCCCAGTTTGTTTCAGTATGTGTAAATGGTCAGAAAGTTGGTTTTTTTCCTACCTCCAAGGGATTAAGACAAGGGGATCCAATCTCTCCTTGTTTATTTATCCTTGCTGAAGAGGTCCTTAGTAGACGGATGAGGAGATTATGTTTGGAAGGAAAAGTGGGTAGCTTTCACCTGGGAAGAGGTTCATCTTTAGTTAGTCATCTCTTGTTTGCGGATGATACATTGGTATTTCTTAGAGGGGATAGGAGATCTATGAAGAATTTGCTGATTTTTTTGGAGAGTTATGAAGGCTGTTCTGGGCAGAAAGTCAGTGTTCAGAAAAGTTCCATGTACTGTTCAAAATCTCAGCTAGCAAGAGGTTGGAGTTGTCAAATTTTGCAGGTATTCCAATTAAGCAGTGTCCCTTTATGCATTTGGGATGTCCTATTATTAAAGGGAGAGCTAGAATCAGGGATTTTGAAGAGGTTTTGGCTAAGTTTAGAAGCAGATTGGAGGGTTGGTATTCCAAAATGCTTTCAAACATGGGTCGAATTTTAATGGTGAAGTATGTTCTAAATTCTGTTCCCGTTCATATTCTGGCCTGTCAGAACTTACCTAAAACTATTATTCATAGAATGAATGCTATGATGGCTGGCTTTATCTGGTCTAATAAAATGGAGGTGAGAAAGAGGCATTGGGTGTCTTGGAATAAGGTTACGTTACCTAAGGAGGATGGGGGATTAGGTGTGGGGAGGTTTGAAGATTTACAGATGGCTTTCCGAAACACGTGTGGAATTTGTTGCAGAAATCCTCATTATGGGCTAAGGTTTATTCTACCAAATTTCTGCAGGGTAAACATTTGCTGAGATGTGTAAGAGGGGGACATTCCAAGTGCTGGAAGGTCTTGCGGCCTTTCTTTGAGATTGTGTTATTAAATTCTACAGTACTGTCGGGGAGAGGTGGTAATACTGACTTCTGGTGTGATTTGTGGTTAGGAGATAGGCCTTTGCTATTTAGGATAGAGGGTTTGCCCCTGGTATTTCCTAAGGTCAGCGAGTTGTATGTTAACTCAGTTTGGCAATTGGGACTGTTGAGCACTTGTTAGGTGAACAGTTAGTTGCTGAGATTAAGAACTGTGGGGCTTTTCTTTCTAATTCAGATGATAAATGGATTTGGCAGTGTTCCAATTCTGGTACTTTTTCTGTCAAAACTGCATGGCAATTGGTTAGACAGCGGGGGGAAAGGAATGGGGTTGCAAGGGTTATATGGGGTATAGGGACTGCTCCAAGTGCACAGCTTGTGGGTTGGAAAATTTTAATGAATGCCTTACCTATTGATGCCAGGATTAGGAATTGTGGTGTCTCTATGGTTAGCAGATGTTCTCTGTGTTTAAGTGAAGAGGAGACTTCTGTACATTTGTTTGTGGAGTGCTTTTATGCTAAGGCAATATGGAGTAGGTTGGCGAGTATGGCTGGCTTTCAGCTTATAGAGGGGGAGTTGCCATTGGTGAGAATGAAGAGAATTTGCAGAATTTTAGGAAAAAGTCTCTGGGCTGCTCTCTTGTAAGAAGTTTGGCATTGTTAATTTACTGGTTGGTTGGAAAGAACGGTGTAGGAGAAGAGATGGAGAAGGTCCTATTAATTCCTATTCTGTTTTCCTTAAAATCGGTAGCTTGTTGAGATTTCATGTTAAAAACATAAAGCCTAAGTTGATGGATAGGCAAAGAGGACGGTGTTTACTGCTTTTGTTAGGGATTAATGTGCCTTATGTGATCAGAACTAAGGCCATTTGGGTTTGCTGGGCTAATCCAGAGTGTGGTTCATTGAAGTTAAATGTGGATGGAGCTGCTAAGGGCAACCCTGGTATGGCTGGTGGGGGTGCAGTGATCTTTTTTCTATGGGATATGCTCTAATATGGGTGCGGAGTTTAGAGCTTTGTTAGACGGTTTGAGTTTGCTTGATAAGTATGGCCTCCCTGTATATAAAATTCAGGTTGAATCAGATTCTCAAGTGCTGGTGAAGACGATAAAGGGAGAGGTGCAGTCTGCTTGGCCTTTTATAGGCATTTTGACTCAACTACTGCAGATTTTGGCTAGTATGCAGTTCTAGTTGACACATGTATTTAGGGAGGCTAATTTTGTAGCGGATGATTTGGCAAATAAGGCGGTCCAAGATGGTTTCTCTACTGATTTTTCTGGTACTAGTCTCTTACCAGTTGCTGTTAGAATGAAGCTGCTCCAAGATCAGCGACATTTGCCGACATTGAGAACCAAAACTATATTGGTTTTTGATGATTGTGGTTAATGTTATGTTTGAAGTGTAGATATGATGGGTGGTGTTTGGAAATAGGCTTGCTGCCTTGGTGGAATGGTGATTATACTGCGCAAAGAGACACAACCCTAGGGGACTGCTATGGTCTTTTAGTGAGGTTATGGTGCCTTTACTTTGTTTTTTTGGGGCCTTGGTTTGTAATGTTTTTGACAGTGAGTTGTTTTGAAGGATTAAAGCCAAAATGTGGCTTGTCCTTTTGCTTCTTGTAATTCTTTAATTTTCTCAATAAATTTTCTCTCTTTAAAAAAAAAATGAAAAGACTACTGAACACCAAAGAGCTGCAACAATACCTCCATTACCTATGGAAGAAGAAAATATGGTCCTCCAAGAAGATAGTCAGTTAACTTACGAGTGTTTATATGAGGAGTTTATGAGTAAAGCTACAACAAATGCAAATTAGTGGACCTAATAGATACATGAGAACCAAACTGTAAGACAGAAAATGAAGGATTTTGTGGTAAATGGTTGAGAGTAAAGTGAAGAGGAAGTGAATGGATGCTATGAAGATGGAAGGTTTTGGCTGTTATGCTAAGAAATTATGTCGTCAAGATATGGCTCGTTATAATTTTTATGGCCATTAATTCTATGAATGAAAATAATTATTCTCCTACATGTAAAGATGTTGTGACGTATTAAAAACTTCACGACCCTACCCATTGAATGATTAAGTGTACACTATAATGAGGTGTAGAGAGGTGTATATTATGGGAGGCTAAGAGTCCTAATGCATTAGGGCTAATTAACTAAAATTATCTTTTAGTTAATTTGTACGTATTTAATTTGAATTAATGTTAGAAAGGACATAAATGGTATTAGTTTTTTTATTATGGTTATTTTAGTCAATCAAAAAAATTTTATTTTTATTGACATTTTATAGTAGTATAGACTAGTTACTGCACTGGTACATTACACATGAACTATTAATCTATTAGTTTTTTTTTATTTTATTTTTGATTTTTACAACAATGTGTTGTGTGGCCAAATTGTCGTTGAAAGACCATACATTGAAACATAAACACTAAGCAAGAGTGTAATAGGATACGATGACCATAATGCACATTAACTTTGTTGAGGGAGATGGCGAATCACATAAACAGTAACATGCGGATGTAAAATTAACAAAACCAAATGCTTGCTTCAGTCATGACGACAACATATCCTTTCATGTAATGCAAAGCTCATCAAAGCAGAACTAACTAATGCAACTTTGAGCAACAACACTCCAACATATGCTTGAAAAACCTGAAACCAAAAAGAAAAACACATAGTTTTGATTTAGATCAAGTCTTTCACGCAACATGGTTAATTATGTCCCTCATGATGAAAAAAAACATAAAATTATCTCTCCCTAAATTTGGATCCCCGAAAAGAACGAAGCAACACAAAATGTGTAGAAGTGAAGGTCCAATATGGTACATGGAAGTAATACTTCACTAAAAAATTCTCAACATGTTGAATGCATTATTATGCATAGGTCAAGACCTTAGCTTCTATATCAACTACACTATCCTTTGTAGAAGTTCAATCCTTGATATTTCTTAACATTAATGTTCTATAACTATACTCTTTATGCGAGAAGTGGATACTCTTTAACTATAGTTGATTGTGACTTCCAAAAAAAGTACTCATCATTCAAAATTCAAAATCGAATGTATACTTTAAAGGCATCCTATTACTGTCTGGAAAATGATCTTATAGAAAAATATAGAACCCATGACAAAAGACAATAACTTGGCAAGCATACCATTCATTAGCCAAATTTCAATTGGCGATCATCTGTTCAATCAGGGGGAGAGTGTGATGGAATAAAACCCAATTGAGTCCTCAATATGGTCTATCATCCCTGGACAAGCTTTTGTCTTTGCAGCATTAACTGAAACAGAGATGCAAAAGAGAAGGGGATCTTTTGTCACCAAAGATAGAGATGTTCATTTGGTATGTAATTTCAAGACCATTGAAGAAATAAGGGCGATTAATCAATCTGATTACAATTTAGAAGCAAAGATCAAGTCAAGACTTTCCATCTTTGTACATAGGATTTGATCAAAAAATAGGGATAAAGAGTACCCAATTCCCTGCTTTGCTAATAAAGTGAAAGATTTTCAGCGTGAAGAGAAAAAAGAAGGATCAAATTTCAAGCTCTAATGACAACTCACTACTTGTGGCAGGAATGCTGGGTGGCACAGAAGATGCACGCCAGGTTTGGATGAGCTGCAAACCTACAAGGTCCCCGTATCAGCATTCTAGCCGTCAGTGATGCATTTACAAGGGTATAAAGAGAGGAAAAAAATACAGAACAAAGAAGGGACACAAATATTCGTCCAATGGCATAATCATTTGTTTTTGATAAATTTACACCTTTAATCACGCTCCAGAAGATAGTCTCTACATTGTTTTTCTAATGTGCATTCATGTGATAAGATAAAAGTTGAATTGTTCAGCACCAAAAAAAAAAATGACCGTAAAAAGCAGAAGAAAAAAAAGTGGCACATAATGCAAATCTACCAATACAAGAGACAAGACGTAGACGATTTTAGTCCATATAACTTATTTAAGATTCATCATGTTCTTCGGTGATGGCTTAGCTTTTTGTGTTTGTTAGAATGACCAATTGTGTTCCTATCATTGTGTGAAAATTTTGAATTGATAATATTTTAAGGTTTTCAAGCCCAATATATTAATAAATTCTACTTCATGTATCAACATCAATTTGTTGTAATATACCAAAAAACTCAAACTCAAGAATAGATTGATCAACAGTGAGGCAATGATACAAGCGTATTCTTGCTCAATTATGTGGATGCTCCCTTTCTATTTACTTGTTCATAGTTTGATGTAATGATCTTGGCGTGAAATTTACACAAAAAACTAAGGAATCAAGACCATCGATTGATAATTTTACTGTATGGGAGGATGTTACACAAACAGATGAGGATGAACATCAAACAGATAGAGACCAAACTGTACCAATGTTCTTGGAACAAACAGAAGCAGCGTTGAATGAAAAAGACAAAATGATATTTGTTGCTCAGTATGTACTCTTAGATCTGCAAATCTAATGATTAGATACAAAAAATCTGCAAGACGTCAAAATGGAGGATATATTTGAAGAGCCTATTATGGAAGATATAATGAAGCATAAGCATGTAAAAATTAGTTCACTTTGTATAAAAGTTCCTTAAGAATTTGGCTTATAAACTATTAAACTAATTAGCTTTACTTTCAAAGATTCTGAATTTACTATTTATCTTGGGTGAATTTGATATGCACAATGGTTTTAAAGTAAGTCAATGTTGTGGTAATACAAGGTTTAAAATCAATTCTCACTGAAATCTACTCTTATTTTACCAGTTAATTGTTTTCTGATAGGAAACATTCAACCCCAACCCACTTTTTACATATCATGTGCCTATAAAATTAATATCTAGATTTATGTTCAAAATAAAAAAACAATTGGATGCTCAGATTAAAACTGTTGTACCTTACAGAATTGTGATTAGATGGTATTGAAGTTTTGTTGACTAAACAATAATCACTGTACGCTGAGTTCTACCTGTTTTTCACCAAACTATATAGAACAACAATTCGACATCAATAAGGAGATGAGGGCTATCCTAATTGACCGGCTAACTCACTAAGGATCAAATATTATGAAAAACCTGAATACAAATATAATAAATCCAACAACACCCATCACATACAAGAACCACAAATCATACCCAGAACTACTGAGAAATATTACCTGCAACTAAAAATTCATTACCTTCAAGCAATACACAGATGGTTGTACAGTGCCAACGCACAAAAGCTGGGGGCATCTAACAGAGGGGGAGAAAGAGAAGTGTGTCAATTGGTGTCAGGCTATGAAAGTGGAGAATGAGGAATATATTCGTCATGCTAAATCTGTGGCCTTCTTAATAGTTTGATGAGAAAAACAACTGCAAATTTATGAGGCGAATAATTAATTTACCTTGTTAAAAGTGGACTGTATTAGTATCTAAGCAAAAGAATGAGTAAATAAGAAAAATCAATAATGTATGATGTCAAACAGTAATGTACCCATATTGCTCATATGCAACATATAAGCGAAAATCTCAAAATATCGCAAACTCCAACTATGTAGTCTAGCTTATGCATACCCAATTACATTGCAATTTAAGAATACAATGGTACCTAGATGATTATGTGGTGTATGTATAGTATTAACAGTAACTAACCTTTTTATAGTGGGTTTGTATTTGAAGCGTGAGCTCCGTGCACTTACATTGTTATGATATTTCAACTAAATTGTCAATTGCACTCTCACAATAAAAGTTGTTCATAACTCATCCTCAATTTATCATTGCTTGAAGCAACTCACTATGTTTTCGTATATCTGCAATTTTTTTTGTGTTTGAGATTAATCACCTAAGTTGATTTACATGTGCGTGCACGTGACATATGTTGAATTATCATTTTGATCATTATTTTATATTACTGATTTCTAAGTTTATTGGTTGAGGATTCGAAGATTTGAGCATATGTCTCCATATTTGATTTATATTGAACGATAACACACAATACACAGAGTTATGTTTCAACTTGTAGGTCTATCCAAACTAAATTTCATTCCTAGAAAAAAAGTATTTTTGGTCCTAAATCAGCCACTATACTGTCAAAGGCTGTTTTCAAGTTTATATCCTTATCTCTTCCATGATGAAATCATATATTAACAAGTTTACTATGAGCCAAGCTTTCATCAATTCCTTGCTACACAATTAATTTCAAGGAAAGTGTGGGTAACTCTTTCATTTGATCCTTGAGCTGATAAAACACATTGACAAATAAATGTAAATTTTTAAAAATAACAGGAAGCATATAAAATGTAAAAATCTCACAGCCCAAACTTGTAAGGGGGAACATGATTGTGGGCTAAGCAAAGATTGGCAAAAAACAATCCACGTCCCTATCCTAATTCTATAAACTTTTCCATTGGTATCAAATGCAATGCAATCATCTTGGGGCAATTTGCCACTTTCCTAGACATGCTAAACATTTCCAAGTGCTAATTACCAACATATCATAGTTGAATGTCAACTATCTTAGCAACAGTTTAGTCGTGTCAAAATCTAGGAAAACAAAAACACCAAGAGGATCCAATTGAGTCCTAAACGTTCCAAAGCATAATACCTCTCTTGTGTCTTGCACATACGAGGATCCTACTGCAAACTCTTGAAATCCCCTATCAATCTCTTCCTCAGCGTAGTCGACATCCTCCCTGGTTTTGTCACCAACTTGGAAAACAAATCTAATTAGCTACAGCAAATTCAAGCAAAAATTAGCTTTCATTTGGAAGTACAGAATTGTATTTATCCCTTTCAAAAAGAACCCCGGATCCATAAGTTATATGAGGATGTAGATACATAGAGCTACAGAGCTTACCTATGAGTATGAGTGGTAAGAATGATTAGATTACTGATGAATTCTTGCAATAGAAAGAATGACTTGCACAAAACTTTTCATAACGGCATTATCTGCAACAAAAAGATAGTTTATGAAGGTATTGATCAACCAACTGCACAAACTTTAGAAAAAAAAAATAACAAATAAAAATCATATTTTGAGCGTCATATGCATAGTTTCCTCAATAGATAATCAGCAAAGCTTGAACCTCCAGATTCCAGAAGGCGGCCGAGTAAACAAATAATGGTGACGAGGCTTCAGTGGAGAACACTACTAACCTGATGTAAGAGAACACCCGAAAATTTTGTTGAAAATGCTCTGATCACGTCCTTGCCAAGTGGCGCACCACCACAATCAACCCTATCCAATGACCTCAAATCATAGCCATCCGTCACATCTCCCTTCGCCATAGTCACCAACACCGGTGGTGCCTCCGCCACTGCCACATCCGTCACCCTGAACTCCCCCACAGCTCTCAACATTTTCCTCAAGTCAAACCTCTCCATCAACACCACAGTCTCACTTAGAGCCACATACTTCACACTGTCAAAAACCCAAATACATGAAAATAAGGCACCGTATACAGCAACACCGCCGGTGACTCCCTCTCCGGTCGCCGAGCTAAAAATATCCCTACAATCGCAATCAAGTTCCGATGAGTCAGCATCACACCTTTGACTTGTCCGGTAGTCCCCGACGAATACATAATCGCTGCGATATCAGACTGACTCACTTTGACGCGGTGCAGAGTTCACGACTTGAACTCGATAACACCGACTCAAACTCAGGCGAGTCAATAAGTATTGTCTGGTATCGCATGGTTGGGAGTTTGTGACACGTTGATGAAACGACAAAGGCAATCACTGGTTTTGAGAGCCTAATTTGGCGGGAAAGATGATGATTCCGGGAGAAAGAAGAGAGAAGTATATGATAGGAATTTGGGTTGAATTGGGAGAGAGAATGAATGCAGTGTCGCCTTTAGAGAGACCCGTTAGGTATTGCAGAGATGCGGCCAGGATTTTCGTTTGGTTGGTGAATTCGGAGTAAGAGAAGCAGTTGCCGGTGATCAGAGTGGTTGGGTTGGGCCATGGTGAAGTGAGTTGGGAGGGCGGTGATGAATTAGGTTTATTGGGCCATTTATTTTGCTGAAAAATTGGGAGGAGTAGCACCTGTGATGAATTGGCTTCTAGAAGGCATTAAGTTTGTAGGATATACGGATGGCATATTTGTTTTTACCAGAGGCTAACAATAGGAAAATAAAGTTTTAAAGATACGTTGGTACTCGTGTTTGAGAGTACTATAAAAAAAAAATTACCCTTGAAGTAATATATAACATAAAATATCAATTAATATAGATTCATTATTAAAAAAATTAACAAAATACACTTTAAAAACACAACTATCGGACAATATCAATCTACATGCATAATTTGTATAATCGAAATAATAAATAATACGAACTCAACTTTTTTTTGGTTAAACCCATGAGGTGGCAAAATTTATTTATAATCAAAATTACAAAAAAAAAAAAAAAAAAGGAAGGCGGACATAAATCTTACCCCTTCACGTAATAAAATAAAATAAATAATTGGAAAGTCTTGCTTTCACATGAAACTGACAATTTAAATGGTCTTAGCTCACTTGTTACCAATTTGCCCAATTGGAGCAAGGTCATAATATAACTCATCAAGTCCCCCAGTTCCATTAAGCAAGCTATGGAATGATTTGAGGATTAGGATTTAAAATCACTCAAAATGCGATGAGTTTTGTTTCTATCATATCCTTACGGTTAGGTCCACATGAATAGAAATCAAGCAAGAAATTTAGTACAATGACAATAAAACAATTAACAAAATCGATTTAAAATATATTATTCGGTGAGTTGTAGTGGTGGTTGTGGAAATGGGTTATGTGAGTCTGTGGTGGCAATGGGGTTGATGGCGGAGGAGGTGGGTTGGGTAGTGCGAGGCTTGGTGAATTCCATAGTCGTGGTTGCGGCTTGATATGCTATGGTAGATGGAGGAGCAAAGTGAGAAAGTTGAAAAGAGACGATGGTGATGGCCAGTTAGAATCTTGATGAAGGTGATTAAATATTTGAATATCAATTAATTCATTAATTTTTCTAACTATAAAGACCCAAGAACAAAACACTGCTAACAAATTATAAAAGACCAACCAATAGCATAATTCGAAAAATCAAAAACCCTAAACAACACAAAAATGCATTAAAAACAAAAATCCTTTTATATTGAAATGTTGACCAAAATACAAAACCCAAACATACATGAGCGCACTATCATAAGATCAAATCCAACCAAATGAACAACTAAACATAGGACCAAAACTACAAATGTGCTACCACATTTAAGAGGAGCTTTGTTTTGAATGTTTCTAATATTTTTTTATAATTATTGAGAAATCTGCCCCTTTTTTTTGTTTGTCACAGTCCTCACTCAGGTGGTATATTAATGTTGGCATGCGTATAAGAGTAGTCATTAATTGAACACTTGTCCGATTGTCACGAATTAAGTATAAATAAATCTTGGTATTTTTTTTAAAAAAAAATTAACCTCAATTGTGCAATGACCAATTTTATTTATTAAAATTTTAAAATGTGAACCGAAGAACTTGTTGTATTACCTAATGGAAATAAAAAAAAAATTAAGAAAGAAACATTAAGGGCAAAAATGTTTATTGCCATGTAAGCCGATATATTTTAAATTTCCGGATAGTTAGTCCATTCCCAAAAAACTTTGCATGATTTGCAAGATTTAAGGGATTTGTTTTGCTAAAGATTCAAATATGCACTCTACCTTATTGTATGACTTACACAACCACAAATGGTTTCCAAACCCTTTTTGAATTTTAAACTCATCCGCCAACATCCCCACCCACAACAAGAAGTCCAAAACAATTGCACCAAAATGACGAAAGTCATGCTTAGCTCTCTTTAGATTTTCTCTATCAAAACTTTATGGGGATAGAGAATTCGAAAGAAATCTCTACTCATTGCTCCCTTGAGACACTCTAGTTGCATTCCACGATACCAAAAATAAAGGACGTCCGAAAATGAAATAAAAGATACTTTTATGGTAGGATACTTTCATGATTCCGGCTACCCCCGTTATTTCAGTTTAAAACTCTATAGTATCCTACCAATTTTTAAGATCCTCCAATGTCTCTTGTAACTTCACAAGCACTAATGCCTGTCCCCTCTTTATTTTTTTCAAGATTGACCTATCCCATAAATTGTTGAAATATTGGGTTGATAGTCAACTATCTTTGTAATTATCTTTGGGATTCTTTCCTATTCTAGAGACAATGTAGCTATCCAGTAGGTGTGAACAAATTCATTATATACTATGAAGTACGGATACGGATACGGGATATGGGTACGATATGATATGGATACGACGAAACGACAAAATCTAAAAAAGTAGAATACAGGTACGGCCAAGATACGACTATAATAAAATATATTTAATTTTTTTTATTATTTTCAACACTTGAGATAGATGTGAGTGAAAGGGATACAAACTAAGTATAGAACCCCCGTATATATAGTTAAACAATAAAGATACAATAAGGATAAAAAGGTAAAACAAAGGTAAAAAGAAAAATCCTAATAATCTAGGCTATAACTCCAACACTCCCCCTCAAGCTATGCGCAAAAATATCAACTAAATCAATCTTGACAACTAAGTCCTGAAGAATGGATAGCGTGACAAATTTGGTGAACATATCTGCAACCTGATCACTAGTCTCCACAAATAATGAAGTGACAATACCACAACTAACTTTCTCCCGAAAAAAGTGAACATCGATATCTATATGCTTCGTCCTCTTGTGTAGTACATAGTTAGAAGCGAGATGAATAGTAGATCGATTATCACAATATAATGTGGATGGAGAAGTCACAAAAAATCCCAACTTGCCAAGAATCGATCATAACCAGATAATCTCGCACCTGTCAAGTGCCAGTGTTCGATACTCTGCCTCTGTTGACGAACAGGAGATAACTGTTTGCTTCTTGCTCTTCCAAGAGATAAGATGAGTCCCTCGAAAAGCACAGAAGCCCGTAATAAATCAACCGTCACATGCTCCCCCATAATCTGAATCTAAATAACAGGCTAGAGAATCATCTAAGATCTTGATGCATAGAACAATCCAAGTCCAGGACAACACTTGAGGTACGGAAAAATATGATAAACTGTGTCAAGATGAGGCTGACATGGCCCGTGCATGAACTGACTAACTCGGCTGACTACGAATGAAATGTCTGGGCTAGTGTTGGCTAAGTAGATAAGTCTACCTACCAACCTCTGATAGATAGTCGGATCTCTCAACTCCTCACCTTCAGCAATAAGCTTCAGGTTTAGAATCATGGGGGATGATGTCAATTTGCACCCCAGCATTCCAGTGTCTGAAATAAGATCCAAAACATACTTTATCTGAGAAAGAACAACATCGCTACTGCTACGGACAACCTCAATCCAAGAAAGTATTGCAAAATCCAAGACCATTCACATCGAAGGTCTTCCCAAGGTCTACCTTGACCTGCGTAGTCCCAGAAACATCATTGCCAATAATAATAATATCATCAACATATACCAAAAGGATAACACATTGTCCAGAAGTATTTCGTCGAATAAAGCAGGTATGATTAGAATGACATCTGGTGAACCTCAAACGTATGACTACATCACTAAAGCGAGAGAACAAGGCTCGTGGTGACTGTTTCAGTCCATTAAGAGACTTACGCAGTCAACATACCTTTCCAGCATACTCCCCCTCACCACGAAAGCCTGGTGGTACATCCATATAAATAATCATATCCAGATCATCATAAAGAAACTCATTCTTCACATCTAACTGATAAAGAGGCCAAGAGTATTTCGCAGCCAGAGACATAATCAATCGAACATTAGTCAATTTTACCACGGGGGCAAATGTAGCACCAAAATCATGACCTGGTACCTGAGTAAAGCCCTTCACCACAAGCCTAGTCTTGTGACAATCAATAGTACCATCCGCAAGAAACTTCAGGGTGTAAACCCAGCGACAGCCAACAGGCTTCACCCCTGGTAAAAAGACAAGATCTCATGTATGATTACACTGAAGAGCGTCCATCTCTGTCTGCATGGCAAGAACCCACTAGGGCTCCCGCATAGCCTCTGAAATAGAGTGAGTAACCGACGTATCTGATAAGGTCATGCTATAAGCTCAAAATATAGGAGACAAATCACCATAAGAAACATAAGTAAAGATCAGATATAAAATCCTAGCGGTCCAACCATAACGATCAACTGGACAACGATCACGTCGCGGATAACGACGCCCTAAATCATCATCTTTCACTGACACTGTCTCATCAGATAAAGTAAATAGCTCAGTACCTACAATCTCATCAGTACTAATAAAAGGTACATCAATATGCTCAACGAACTAAGAAGTATTACCTGCATCGTTTGAGGTAGAAGGGCCATCAGTAGGAGGATGAGAGCGAGGGCGACAAACATAAACCTGCAAAGGACGAGAGACTGATGACTCTGTATTAACAGAGATGAGTGACTCTAAAGGAGGAAAGACTGATGACTCTATAGTGATAGTGACCAATGGCTCTAGCTCCTATGATAATGGAAAATTAAAGGGAGTACCACCAACTAGAAGGAAATACACAGGACTGGAAGAAAAATAAGGAATATGCTCAAGAAATGTAACATCTAGACTATGATACATACAGTGTCTGATAGGTTCATAACACTGATATCCCTTAGACTGATGAAAATAACCAACAAAGACACAAAGAATCGCTTTTT